TGTCCGCGTGTTTGATGTGTGACGAATTGTAACAATAGTACCAATGCTTTTAAACAAGGTTCCTTAGCAGGTTTGAATGAAAATGAAAAAACTTAACAACATAACAATGCTCGAACTTTCAAAGAAACGATGAACACACGAGTTTCTCCTACCGACACTATACAATGAGTGACTGGACTTAAAAAAAGGCCGGCATCCATGCCACACTACGCCCGAGGAATTTAAAATAGGAGGTCACACTCTGAAAACGCAGCAAATTAATGTTTTCTGTCCACACTACGCCGGAGGATTTTAAAAACGCAACAATCACCAGTCATTTTGTACCCTGTGATCAGGCTCATCGCGTGGCAACTGAAAAGAGAGGAAAGATGTCTGCCTTCATACTTTTTTCCTCACGAAGAGCCTGCTCGCAGACTACGGTCAAGGAGAACTGAAAGGAACACTCAGTCAGGGAAATCACATGATTATCGTGACGCCATCTTTTTCGAAAAGCTCCGTTTTCAAAATGTTTTCCGTCCATACGAAACGAAAACTCGACGTTTTCAAATTACTCCGGTTTGAACTGAGAGCGTTTTCGAAAAGCTTCGTTTTCGCGACGGATTAGTGTGGACGGGAGGCCTAACCGTGGAAATAAATCTGCGTTTTCACATTTCTCCGGCGTAGAGTGGATGAAGCCTAAATTTTTGTCAATGAATCGAAACTATAAAACATTTGAAAATGCAAAATCACAGCTAGTGAGGGAAGTCACTGTTTCAGTTTTAAAAGTGAATACATGTCAAATATCTTTGGATCTTTGCCGTAGATATTTGTTTTCCCCAGTGATGCTTCTTCATTTATTAGCTCTTGTGTACTGTCGCAATCGTCAGGAATCCAGTGTGTTGCCATGCGCTGAAAGTTGAAAGGTGGCGCCGGGAATGTATACTTGGCCGTAAATTCTCCTTTCGTACTGACCTTTCCCCTTTTCTTGCCTTTTCTAAGACCAAAATTGCTTAATGTGCTCAGCTTATTGCACCAGGTAAGGTGTTGATTTTGTTTGCGTTCATCTACTGAATCAGTCAGAGACAGAGATTATTTTTACTGTTGCAACTTTGATTATTTTGCAAGCACAGTAGCTCACTGTGGGGTCTACGTACGGAAACTCTGCGGATTGTAATCAGAGGGGCAATTTACAGTTCTTAATTAATTTGTCACTAGTCGATTTCGAAGTGAATTCTCTCTCTGTCACTGTTATTATGTTTATTCTTTTTCAGTAATTGTTGTTATTATTAGAATTTATTATTCTTTCGTTCATTTTTGTTATTATCTACCTTTTTAAGCCAAGAAAGGCTTTATAATAACATACCCGATCTCCATTTTCGTTGTAAAAGGGCGCCAGTAACTTTTGCCAAAGTACCGTTGTTGTAATTCCGTAGCCATGTTTCCGTTAGAAATCAGAGGAGGTTGGACACGCGCCGAACTGAATTAAATACAGTTCACTTTTGTTAATTTGATTTCTGTCTTCATCTCCTCTAGCTCCCCTAAGGATGAGTTTCCTAATCCTATTTATTACCTTTTCCACAGGAGACTATGATCTAGTCTCTTGCTCTCTATTACTGTAGGTTTGGAAAACTACTAACAAACTAAAAGGCGAAATGGCAACGTTAGCAGAGGCTACTTAAAGCCCAGCAGGTCAAAGTACTTCCTTTGTTATAACGTTTCCCTGAAGCTTAAGGCAGGCACGTGGTCCGGATGTCCGGGATGTCCTTTTCTCGCAACATTTCAGTGAACTCTGCTATTCCGAGAGCGTGGGTTCGAGATAGTCGATAGCAAGTGACTGAAAGGCAAAAAAACAATAGCGAAAAAAGTATTATAGACAAATGTATGGATATTAAAAACGCTATTGAGCGCTTTCTAGCACAACTACATATCCCTGAGACTTGGTTTACGCAATCCTTTGTCTATTACCATTTAACTTTCCTATTCATAAATTGTTGAGGATTCAATGTTTTATAAAATTATTTGCCATGGGATTCCCACACAAACACTGTAATTTCTGACGCGTGTTGCCTTCCTATCACGATCGCTTCCAAAACGGTGGTAAGGTCTTTAGTATGCGGATCCGCTGTATAATTTGGAGGCGTACTGAGAGAAGACTGTTCACTCTGTTAACAGATTGTATGTAACAAAGTGTTCTAACAACGGAAAGCTCATTGGCATTCAGTTTACCTGGCTAAAGCAAACATTCTCGAGGTGATTTTACCATTCGCTCCGCAGTCATACTTGGTATGTTATGCATAGAAAACGTGGCGCAATTAGGAACGTAAAAATCATGTGAGGCGTGAAAGACGAAATGAAGGTGATGTCTTTCAGTGTATTCTCTCGTGTTTGGCTTGGGGCTTTGCTGAAACACTCATGTAAACAGACGCTAGCAGGCTTCTATATCAGTCGTCTGTACGTCAGTTGCTGCTTACTGAAAGGCTAAATTCCGACCACTAAGGTGGCAGAAAAATGGCAAGAGACAAAAAAAAAAGCGCAGCACAAAGGCAATTTAATAAAACACAATATTACATGCAACCGGTGGCGAGGGCTGGAAGGATTACGAGCGTTTGCATCTGATTGGCTAATTAGATAACATCTGATTTTACTTGTTTTACTAGCAGTTGAATGTATGGCTGGGAGTAAACATGTTTGGCCTGTTCGTTCCGTGGAAATAAGTCAAAAATAGAAGACAAAAGCAATGTAAATGGACGTCTTTGACCACTCCAACGTTGAAATCCGGCACTTTTGGATTAACCCTAAGAGAAATGTCCTCCGTCACAAACTGAATATCTTAGTTTTTGTTTTTCTTTGCTAGTCCTCAGTTTATGAAACTACTCCATTCAGCAACCGAGGAGGAGCTGAGTAAATCTGTGACGAGACTTTGTAGAGCTTTACTTGTACAGCCATTTTACAGCGGGTAAATTTTACTTATTCCATTGTCCCGTATGGGACTTTCAATCTTGCAACACAATCAATAGAGCCGCTCGTGCCAGCTGGCGCGCTGGGCCAGTTTCAACACAGTTTGAACTTAAATAATCACACCTTACATAGCTTTGTCAAGGCAAACGAAAACACGGTTTTCAGTTTCCACAAAACCAGTGTCTTTTGGCCTGACTTTTATTTCAGATTTTGTTCTTAACAATGATCCGCTGATTTTGTCGGCATCTCACTGTTCAGGATGGCTCAGCGACCCACAGGTGGTACACATCAATTTTCTTCGATTTGTTCCTCTACCATCCTCTTTAAACCATGTTTTATTAATACGATTGAAACTGTGTAAGAACCAGAAAGAACATCCAATAAAGTTGTCTGTCAATGCTGGTTATGCTGAGATGCAGTTCTGGCGTTTTGGCATTTTCTTTCTGATTTGTGACAAATTAAGACGCATGCTTGACTAGCCGACGACAACAATCGGTAAACAAAGCAAAATAAACAATTAGCTACTAAGACCACATAATTAAGCCTGCACGTGTCTTTATTGTTATGCTTTATTTTATTTTCTAAATTGATTTTTCAAGATCGTCATTAAAGTTTAAATTCCCTAAACTGATCTCAGATTATTTTTCTTTAATCGCCGGACGGAAAGTAGCGCATGCAAAACTGCGCGACGCTGTCACGAACCAAAGAGCTGGTAACTTGGTACGTTAAACTAACAACTAGTAAACACGCTTAGTCCATTTGAATAACAAAGCTTAAAGTTACCCTCTCTAAGGTGCAATTATTCAAAAAGTTACTGTGTTATTACTTGAAAGGAAAGCAAGCACACCTGGAAACCACTTAAAACACGAACTAAACATGTTAAGAGTCCACGCCACCCTTTCATGGGGCGTTTTTAGCTGGTCCTCCACTCTTTAGGACTATAGAGAAGTTTTTTTTTGTTACAATCAGACGACATTCTAATAAACTAAGGTGGTATTTTAAGATTCTTCCCTGAACAAACAGCACATACAGAGTATTTTCATAAAAGACAACCTGTGTACCTGGCGACAAGGGGTTTAAGCAAATGAAACTTTGCTAAAGAGACGTTTAATTTCCTCTAACGTACACAATACATATCATTAGTCGACCTTCAATTGCAAAGTGCCATTCAACCACGCGGACGATACCGTAAACAAGACTTTATTCGTTGAATGGGCTTCCATTCTCATTATAAATTGTGCGGCGTTTGATTGCTTGTTCTTGGTCATGATACTGATTTAAGTCCAGCCTTACTGTGAGACCCGTGCAATTGTTTTCTTTAAACCCCCACGCCACGTGCGCTTAGTTTAAAACAAAGAAAGTTCATGATGAAAAGTTTACAATGAAATAAAGCAATTTATTTGATAAAACAAACAAATAGTCGCTTTAATTTACGCCAGGGCAAGCCATTATTGGCTTTAGAGCTACTGGAAGTGAATACTTTTGAGCAAAAAGATGAGTACTTCAAAGCTCAACTTGAGCGACTTTTCCTGTAGTTCTCGTGGTTCGTCAAGACTGTGAGAGGGTTGTGACGCTGTTGCGAAGCGTGGCAACGCAGTGTAACACTATTCAAATGTTAATACACACGTGTCCTTATGATTAACAACATCTGCGCTCTTTAACTGTAAATTTACATCTTTGCACGTTTATCATAGTTGAGGAAATGACTCAAAGCATAGAGGTGTTAAAATTGAGCCCTTAATAAAACAACGACCAAACTTGCTTTATCGACCAAACTGTGGGCATATCAAGACCTACGTAAGAATATAAGTTAAAGACCGCTGCGAAAATGAAATACGGCCATTTTCGAAAATAATATAAACTGAAAGAATTTATTTTCTCCTGTCCTCTTTTTCATCTGAGAAGAGGACAACGAAAACAAAGGAAGTTGTTCGCAAGGTAATTTAAATATCTTTTGTTTCTTGTGAAAGAAGTTCTCGCGCCAAAACTGCAGGACGTTAAGTTGTTACTATAGAGATGAGCTCTCGGCCAATGAGGTGACTGTTTGTAATTTTACTCACGGCTATTTATTGCAGTTACGTATTTTATACGACGTGAGAGTCTTCAAAGCTGGTGCTAGTATAGTAGTTTCCACCATCAGAAATGACTGCAACTCAAGTACGTGTTCCCCCATCTTGTCCTCGGAGAGTGAGGCCGAACATTATTCCAAGTCGTTCAGTCTGCAGACAGCTGTTTGGACCGGTGAATCACGAGCAAATGAAGGCAGATTTGCTTCGCGAGAAGAGGAAGATGAGCGAGGAAAACGCTCAGACGTGGAACTTCGACTTCGAGAATGGAGTTCCTTTGGTTGGAAGATACGTTTGGGAAAGAATTTGCTCCACCTTGACGACTGAAAAGCCAGGTTCTAGTTTGCCTGACAGTGTCAATGAGACAGGAACGAATGAACGCTTGGGTTGTTTCAGTCTTCCTTCTACGGAACTTATTACTACAGCTACTACGACGACAAGTTCTGGCGCGACCAAGTGTCCAGTATCGAATGACTCGTGTACTAATCAGGCGGAAAACGACTTAGTAGAAACAAAAAAACGCTTTAGACACATCAGGAAGACAAGATCTACGGGAAAAATCACGGGTAAGTCAAAAGATTGTTTTTGTTTTCACCATTTACATCTTTATTGTAACGCTCTTTCTAAAGCGTCGTTTTGCTCTTTTCGCAGGCACGATGTAAATATCGTGTTATTCGATTCATGAGATAGTTCGTGTTTCAACAGCGCGTAACATTTGCTTGCAATTTACTCTGCGCTATTCGGCCAATATTTTGCCCTCTGAAATGTCGCTCGTGCAAGATTAATCTATGTAGGCGAGGTTATTAGATGTAGTAACGATAATAGCTTTTTTGTCAACCGGGTCAAATACAATGAAATGAGAGCGAAATCCATGTCATCGATTTGCATTGGTTCTCACTAATCCTTTGTAATCTCTTCTCTCCAGATCTGCTACGATCGACGAAACAAAGAAAGTGTGAGAAGAGATCGCGTCCAACCAGAAGAGATTCAAAACCGAAACAAACAAGTATGGACTTGTTCGTCCGCAAACATTAGTTTCAACTTTTCAAAAAGGTCAGTGTTTTTGAAAGCCCCTAGCAATTAACTTACTATCGGGTCAATGTGTCGATAAGAATTTACTACGCGCGGAACACTTTCCGTGACGAAACTAGAAACAACTAGCCTCGTTGGGCAGTGTTTTCACTGCACTCGCGTTTGGATTATTCCCCAAGGACGTCTGTTGACGTGCTATGAAGAACAATTTGTTCCCGAGCTACAGTTTGTTTGTCTTCCGTCAAACAAAACCATCGGATTAGCGATCACCAACCTCGCTGCAGAATAACTGTTTACCTAACGAATTCAACTTAGTTGGAAGGCGCGTGCCAGTAGGTATACGGTAATAATTGTTGAACTCGATTCGTGCAGTTATACGCCAAACAATTTCTATTGATACAAGTACACTTGAAACCTTATACGTCAAATTGATATTGGAGCATGAACATTGTTGCAGAAAATATTCATACCCACCTCATGGATGGGGGGGGGGGGGGGGGGGGGAGGTGGGTGGTTACAAACTAAAACACTCTTTGGGAAGGGAGGAGTAAAGAAATTTTTTGGAACAGCACATTGCCAAAGTGTACTCTATGAAAAGGAACTGAAGCCAGTCCAAACAATTCTGGGCATTAACATGTAAGCCCTATGAAAACCTGTGATTAAAGGAGGGGATTTATTTCACTGATATTTCAAGATGATTTTCCTGTGATTCTTGTGGTCAGCATTGCTTCCAAGAACGTAGAAACTTCAAATTAGTTAACTTTTTTGAATTAAATCATAAGGGAATTCAAAAATGGCTCCAATATAATCTTAAAAATATGTGTTATGTTTATTTATGGGTTGATGGTAATAAATTTTTAATTTACCTTTTATAGATCCTTGGAATTATCACACAGTCAGAGTAACTGGTCCTGTTGTGGACTCAACGGAATGGAGATTATTTGTTGTACATAATATTCAAAAGTTTCAAGTCTGGAAATAACATGTAAATAAATACTGAAGATATTCAAGAATACACAAAATTATGTAATATAGCTAGCAAATGAAAAGAAAACTATTGCTAAAATACAACTGTCAAAAAACACAGTTTCAACTTTTGGAGCAAAGACATTTTATAATTATTGTCATTAAAAAGATACACAACACAAACTAGCCAATAAAGTTGGTTTAAGTGTACACTGTACCTTAGTCAATTGATCACAAGTTCTGTTCAAAATCAACTACTTTCTCAGGTATCATTGATACACACACAGATAGTGATGTGTTAGATTTTTAGAGGCATTTACAGTTATGTTTAATAGTTTTGTTAGATAAGATTGAGTAAGTTCAGCCCAACAACTCAAGACTTACTTGAAAATAGATCATCTTCAAGGTTGCATTGGTAATTCACCTCTGTTATATGTAATTAAAAGAAAACACTTAAGTTCTAATAGTATTTTGGCTCCTCTTTGTATGTTAATTTTGTATAATTCTTAAAAAAAAGCAAAGTCACTCTGAAAGGAAGTTCACCTTTTAAACCTTTTCAGTGCAAAATATTTTAAAGAAAACAGGGGGTTGAATATAAGAAAGCAAGTTCTAATTTTTTGCAGGGGCGATTGAACTTCTAAGGCTGACTCTTGCCCTAATGAAGGTGTCCTCTGAGCCGAGTCTTGTGCTGAGCCAAGTGTGAAAACAGTACTTTTACATGCCCCATGCAATGTGCACTTCCAGAAAATATCCATATTNAAGGGATTGGAATTTCCTGGGGGATAGGGAGGTGTTAGAAAAAATCCCTTCCGTGGGGGAGGTATGGATATTTTCTGGAACTACACAATTCGCAGGTGTACAAGTATGAGAATTGGGGATAATGACAAGTGACCCACAACCCTTTGCTCTGCATCTAAGTCCCCTGCAGTCGGCATTGTCTGCATTGGATTTGTGCAAGACCCAAAATAAAAAAAAAAAATGTAGCAGTGCTCAACGATATGGCTGTTTCCATTGTATCCCTTTACCTTGGCACATGTGGGGTTCAATTAAGAACCTTCTTTGTAACCAAATTCTCATAGTTAAATTTGGGTTTTTGATAAGAGCCCTGTTAAAATTCAAGACTGAAAGTGACAGAACAAAGTGAAATTAAGTTAGGTTTAAGAATACGCATTTATGCACAACTGAAGGCTTGTTGTAGTGTGCATGAGGACTTCAGAGGCCAGGGGCCCATTTCTTGAAAGCCCCAGAAAGCCGCAGCAAAATCTCGAACCTTACGATTACAGAGCTGTTTTATTCACATATTCTCAATATGAACAGAGGTTCCCTTCATACAAGAAGTTTCAGGTGTATGCACTTCTCCATTTTAGATACAGATGAACTAACCATGGCTTAACGGGCCCAAAAAGTTTTCGGGGCTTTTGAGAAACAGGCCCCAGGTGCCAAAAAAATGTAAGAAAAATTATGAGTTTGGCTCAAAGGTAAATTAACGCATGTACTTGCACTCATCAGAAGGTATTGAGGATGAGGATGGTGTTTCTACCCCTTCCTGCACCAATTCAAATTACTTTATCTCTTGTGGGGATCTTCTGATGGGGTTTCTGGAAGACCCAAATAGTGAATAGCAAATAGTGCCGAATAGTGAATAGTATGAATAGTGGCGGATAGTTGCAAATAGTGGCAAATAG